TTGGAAGAAATTAATTTGGTCTCCCAGTTCAGGGTTTTGTGTTGCTTTATCTTATAGCTGGAACCACTTGTCTGTCTCACTCCTTATTTATATAAGTTTTGTTGCTTTTCTGAACGTTTATCTGTGTATAGAACAGAAATAGTCACTGACACATATGCTTTTTATGAATGACAAACATATTCCTTGTTTCACTTGTAAAACCCAATTTAAATAGTGTTTGTAAAATATGCAGTGCTACAGTTATATCCGGGAAGTATTTGGGCTACATCAAACATGGAAACAATTATTCTTCTAAATGTAAATGTTCACTTTCTATCAATCATTCTATTAAGTTTGAGGCTTATTAAAATGCTGTAAATATAATGCTAGATTTGTTATAGCTATAACTGTGGTGTACGGAGATGCTCAAAATCTTTAGTAATACTTAATGGAGATTTTTAATTTTGAAAGCACTGTGGGCTAGAGCTATGTTGCAACATAGGATAACAGCAAATATGATTATTTGCCGTTTGATTGTCAGCATTTTTGCCCCCATGTGCAGAAGGGAGGTGGAGAAGAAAGGAGGTTTTAGATAGAATAAGATTTATGGGGAGCACTTAAATTCATAGTGCTTCTATATGGTGTAGTAACTGTGTACTTCTGACAGTGCTACACGGCTCAACAGGCCAAGTGGTGTCCTCTGCAAGGGTGACTTTCCTCAGCCTCATGCCGGCTCATGCTGCTGGCTCTGGGGTGACCCCACCTGACCTCACAGCCCACCTCTGAGGAAGATCACAATATTCCTTGGCACTTAAAAGCAGACTGGCAATGGCAGTCCACCTGGTTGTTACAAGAGAACTGAGCATTAGGTGTTGGTTAGGTTATTCAAGCTTATTACATTTGGAGAGAGTCTTCTGTATACAACCAAAGTAAAGATTCAATGTTTGATTACTATGTTTGATTACTATTTTGAGCATTAAAAATGAGGTAGCAACGAAAGTCACAACTGCTATATGCCTAGCTCCTTTAGCTCCATTTTTAGCCGTCAGGTCATTGAGATTGCTCCATGCAAGAAGCCACAGACAGGTCCTGGACCGCTGACTTGGGATAATTTAGTGTGCCAGCTAGCCTCCTAGGATTAAAAACAAAAACAGGATTAAAAACAAAATCAGGATTAAAAACAAAAACAACAAAATTTGGTCATAATCCTCTACTTTTACAGAAGAAAAAACAAACAGAAAAAGTGTGTCTGAATCACTGTCATAAAATTGGGGCTTCACAACTTTTGTTGTTGTTGCTTAATTTTAACAAAACTTCCATTTCATAGTTTGATGTATGAGACATCGATGGGTCCCTTGTTATTAGAAGCTTACTGTATTAGTATACATATGCCGTTCATACACAGTTCAATAGGATACGGTATAAAAAGTATGCTGGTGTCAGCTACAGACTCTCTACAGTACAAATTCACTTTCTTTTCCCCATCTTATATACGACAAAAATACAATAATGGAGCTGTGTCCATTTATCTTGTATGCCTTCTTTAAAGTTCAAACTCCCACCTGTGTTCACGTCCAGGAAAATTTGCTTTAATATGCCATATACTGAAAAATCTTCCTCTTCAGTTCACCACACTATATAAACCGGATATTATGTAAGCATAAACTTATAAATATTTGTGTGTGTGTGTGTTTATTCACAATTCCATAATAATCCTGCTGATATTAGGACTTTAAAAAGCAATACACAACATTGAGTTTGAGGAAGATAAGTTCAACAATGGGAGTAAGAATACCTGCGATGATCTTGATGTATTATAGTACACTCAAGTCTGTCATAACAATGTATGTTAGCTATGAGATATATTTTATGAACTACTTATTGTACATGTTTTTAACAGCACAGGTTATAGTTAATCTCTGGTATTCCACAGATGCCGTGCACAACAAATATATCATCATAATAAATTCTGACACTGGGAGACGGACTGCCTATGCTGTGCTCCAGCTTGACAACACCTTGTTAGTTTTAGGCATTGTTTTAGTGGCTTAACCTGAAGCAAGTGAGGTGTGTTGATGTGCAGCATGTTTTACTGGGAGGGATTTTCAGACTTCCAGGAGTTTTATGATTATAGACTAGTGCTAAAGATAGTTGGCAGCCCTAGAGCTTTCAGGTGCTGGCAAGACTAAGGACAATGGTAGAATTTCTGATATTGTGCACTGGCTTTTCTTCAACTTTAAACAAAACAAAAATAAGAGCAATTCAGTTTTTCACTTGTAACTGCTTGCTTCCTGATCCTGAATGTTTTCAGAGAATATCTAGAAGGTGGATGAAGTGTAAATGCTTGTCTGATACATAATCAATAGAATTAAAATCCCTTGCCACTTATTTCCTCTGAAGTGATTAAAATCCACTTTGTACATGGTTTATGTTGGCCATACTGCTCCTTTGCAGCAATATTTCAAGGTAATTATTAGACAGTTTATGACGTGCTTAAGTATAAATGTTCAGCATAAATCTCCATAGACTGTAGTTTAATAGTTTTGCTCTATTCAGAGAGCTAACACTGTTGAGCTTTGGCTGGCCTTCTTGTAGGCTTTTCCAAGCTTACATAGCTGTATAGCTCTTTCAACTTTTGAAAGGCATCTATTCCTAATATTTAGAGACACTGAAAGCATAATTTCTGTCTGGTTCTACTCTGATTGGTGAAGTAAGTTGCTCAAAATACTTCATCTTGTAACAACTGTTCTGCATGTAAGCATGTTCCCTGTAGAGAAGAGACAGTTCTGCTGTTTGCTCGACCTTCTCTAATGAGCCTTTACATGCATGAGATTTCATTTTTGAAATCTTACTTCTATCAATAGATTAAGTCCTAGGGCTAATATATAGTCTCAAATTAAAGATGAAATTCAGTCCTTGCTGTTTCTTCCTCATCCTTAGACTTATTTCCATATGAAATTTAATAACCCATCTGAAGCCAGCAACTTCTTCCAAGTAAAGTTGGCCATGCAAGATGCATAGCTAGTTTGAGTACAGACTTAGTATTGTAGATATCATGATGATTTAAAAGGGTAGAATTTATTAGAAAAGTTGTTAACTTTTATTAAATCAACACATATAGTTAGAACAAATTGCAAGGACACACACCTGAAAAATGTTTTTTTGAGCTTCAAAGCTTGCTCTGCTTTTCTGCAGCTGTACTACTTGCTACTTCCCCCTAGACATTTCATCTTGCTGAAATCAGTTATGTTAATTTAGGTGGAAGTAGATTCTGCTTTACATGTTTATTTTTCCTCTGATTACATATTATTTTCTTTGATGATATAACCAATATTTGAAGGAAGTTGCAAGTAATTTGTAATTAAGAAACTGGAACAAAAGTTAACTTGAGTTTCAGGGTATCTGGCCTGATTTTGTGTTTGGCTGGTATATTTGCATGTTAGGTTCTTGCTGGCTAAAATGGAAACAACATTCCCCCAGATCTCCTTTTTAAGATTAAATTTAAAATAGCAGGTAGCGCAAAACAGGTTATGTTACAACATCTCTTCTCTCACCATCTCCCACAGTATTCTCCTGAAGAAGCTGGCTGTTGATGGCTTGGACAGTTCAGTGGGGGAAGAGCAGACTGAATGGCTAGGCTCAAGGAGTCACAGTGAATGGAGATCAGTCCTGTTGGCAGCTGGTCACCAGTGGTGTCCCCCAGGGCTTGGTACTGGGGTACTCTCAGGTGACTCTCAGATGATAGGATGTAAAAAAGTTGTGCCAGCGAAGTTTAGATTGGACATTATAAATATTTTTTTTCATGAAGAGGGTGGTCAAGGATTGGAACAGGGTGCGTAGGGAAGTGGTGGAGTCCCCATCATATTCTTAAGAGATATGCAGACATGGCACTAAGGGATGTGTTTGATGTGACTCAGTAGGTCAAGTTGATGGTTAGAAATGGTGATCTCGAAGGTCTTTTCCAACCTAAATGATTCTCTGATTCTATGTTCTTTCTAGAGGTTCATGTGTAGTTTTGACACCAGTATGTCCTGGATTGCTATTCTTATTGTCACGTTCTACATCCCATTTTTCTCCTAGTTCTGCTTTAAAATAAAAACAAGGAAGTACATAACAAATGCACACCTTTATCCTCAGCTGAGCTTAATTTTTGTTGAAAGACAAGCCAAAGTACTGTCTGTTCGAACTTGATCATAGTTTAGAAATATCCTAAGCAAATACTGATGGGTCTCAGTCAAATTCCAAAGACAGCATGCCATAGAGTTCGTAAAAGATTTTGGAAAGTATAAAACATATAAAATTGAACAAACTATTGACTACAGAATAAATAAATCACTGTTACTTTATAAATCCTCCCCTTTTGCTATTTTTATCAATATTACATTAGCACCCCATTTATTTACTGTTCTGCCACCAAATTTTTCATATAGATATCTCTCCTCCCCATACATATAAAACAACGTTGTATGTGTCATAGGACCTGTGGAGTGTTTAAGAGTATTAGCATCATGCCAGGCAAATCACAGTGCTCCTCAAAATCTTCTCAGAAAACAGCCTGATAGATATAGTGATCTATTATTTGTATGTTTAGTTCAGTTGCTGGCAAAACAGACGTTTGAAGCTGATACACAAAACAGCACTTATTTTAAAATCAATATGTAAAACATCAATTCTTAAAAATCCATTGAAAGATCTAACTTTGCAGAATATATTACTTTGCCAATAGAGCTGGCTCAGTCGGTAAAGAACATATTCATTCTCTCAGTTTCACCTGTCATCTAGTAAGAAAAGTTCTTGTTTTAGTTAGCTAAACCTAAGCAGCCACTGATTATTTCTGTCCTAAAGATGAAACTCCTAGGTTCCAAATAAACCACAAATGTTTTTACTGATAGAAAAATATCTCCATTCTCCACACTTCGATGTATTAGGCCTAGAAAGGAAATTAAACTTTTCCCTTTAACCAATTAACTTTTCAAAAAGGTGCTCCTTGGTTTAAAATAGTTCTCTTTCTTACTTTCTAGTTCAATTTTGTTGGGAAATTGCTTGGACCAAGAGGAAACTCCTTGAAGCGGTTACAAGAAGAAACAGGTGCAAAAATGTCTATCTTGGGGAAAGGCTCCATGAGGGATAAAGCCAAGGTACTGTGTCTCGATTTTGACTGCAATTAGTGTTGATACATTTCTTCTTAGCTGTTACAGTAGATTGCCTGTCTACTTATTAATGGCTCAGTTAATAGACTTAAGCTAGACTCTGACTCCAAAGGCTCATTTGTTTTTTTCAAGTTACATCAATTGTTTAAATATAGTTTTTCTCTTGCTACTCAAACCTTCCTGTATAATTGTGAACCACCACAGTTACTATAGTACCACTGTTGTTTAAATAATTGACACAAAAGAGAAACAATCTTATTTTTTTCTGAGTAAAACCTTTTTCTCCTGGGAAAGTTTAACTTGTTAAGATTACTGCTGTAATGCTGATATACATTAATAGTTTTTCTCTTTTGTTTCTTTAGGTGTGTTCTTATTGCTTATTTAGAGAGCTAACATTTTAAAAAATCTTTAAGTTTTATTCAGGGCATAGTTTTAATAAAGACAACAAAGTGTAAATTTTATTTAAATGTGCTTAGAAATGCACAATAGATAAAGAATCTGTATTTGGAATCATGGCTATTGCACCTTAAGTATTTATTCATAAAGTCAAGTCATATATTTGCAAAGAGCAAGTAAGTATACATTGCATTGTGGCACCTTACATTACAGGATGTAGAACAGCATTACTATGGTCAACACAGAAATAATGACTACTAATTTCACTGCACTGTATATTGCCTTTAGTAAAGCTGTGCATTATTCAGCTTTCCTTTCTGTCACCTCTATCATTCATCTCAGTAGCTAAAATAATGAAAGAAATAACATGCCAGAATAAAGGAAAGGCTAATCAGGATTTTACCATTTTTATGGTTGGCATTATTTGGTCTTGGTAATGCGTATCAGCAGTCACACTTGCATTATGAGATCTCCAATGGCAATATTAAAAAGAAAACACAAAAAGACAAATTAAGCACACAGAGTGTATTTCATTTTTTCACTGCTTTCTTTATGACATTGGGCATACTCACACTTCAATTATCTATTTAACATTATATTTTATGATAATAAATGTTGATTACACTACAGATTGTATTTTTAGTTATTGACAAGTAAAATATTTTATGACTTCTGGCTTACTTCTGGAATTATAAAAAACGACTGCCTGGATGAATGAATGTGAGTGCTGCTAAGTAGCAGTAATTTGCATCTGTACTACGGCTGCCAGCTCCATTCTCAGCCACCCACTCAGATTATTATTGCCAAGAGAGGCAATTGCCCAGACAGAGAAGTGTGAAGAGCTTGTTACCAGATAAAGAGGTTTAAGCACATAAATAGACAAAGTCCTCTGATTTTGAGATCGGTGACTCTTCTTATCATACCATTTGAATTTCATCTGATCATAACAAACAGTGCCAGCATGCCAGTTATTATATTCACTCATGAGTGTGTCAGTAGAACAAGATTCATTTTTTTTTTCTCTCTTCGTAGAATATTTATGCCTAAACTTCAATATGAAGTTTACCATGAACTTCATGGAAAGTCACTCATATAAGAAATGTCTAAAAAATGAAGTTCTAGAGTAAAATGGTATTAAATATGGCAGTGATGAAAGCAACTTCTATAAAGAAGGCCTCATTTACTTATCAATTTACTTATCTTAATCCAATTTAGACATCACTGACTCATATGAAAATGAAATGCCTATGCTCTTACAGTGAGAGAGCAATTGTCTGATCTGTGTACATCACTGTTAGCAGTTCCAAGCAAAAGAGACTGAGAATGGGATGGATAATAGTTGCAATTCAGAGGGGATTTTCTAGGTTGAGATTCTGGTAAAACTAAAGAAAATAATTGTGAGCACAAATAAATAGCCTACACTGCCACAGCACTAAGGAAAATGCAATTATCTCTGGCTAAAACAGCTTTCTTGCTTTAAAACAAGCTCACTAGCCTCCTTTATGCAGCACTTTTTATGGAATAAAATACAAATTGCCAGAGTCTGGAGGCTTGCTGTGGTTATTTCATACCATACTAGAAATCAATTTATGTATATGAGTTGATGAATCTTCCTTCTGGAGGAATTTTCAGGAAAAATCTGTGTAATTTCTCGCTGTTAACTAGAATATCCTTAGGGCTGTCTGTATTATGCCAAGAGCCGTACCAGTCCCCAAGCAGACAGCAGGCATGTGGGCTTTTCCCCTCTGGTCCAGTGCAGCTGACTGCTCAGCTGCATCAGAGCAACAGAAGCTGAATTTCAGTGATATGCCTGATGGAAAAGATTAAATACTTTTACACCTGAAATCCTCACTTAGTGTTCACAAAGGAATAATATGTGTCTTTTTGGTACCAAAATGATGGTAGACACATGTTTGGCTCTACAATGAACCTCTCTGGGCATATTCTGTAATTTCAGGCAAGGGGAGGTGCAGTTTCCAGTTCTAGCAACCTCCCTCTGTTAAGGGTGGTTTATCTGGTTTTCATATTTTATTTATTGTTAAAAAAGAAACTTATGTGTTAATTCCAGAGTCTAAGGAACTGAATTTGTTCCTTTTTCAAGTATCAGGGGACACTGTTGGTAAGAGTGACTTGATTTTTTTGCATACCCACTGTTCCTACAGTTGCATAGGAATATTAATTTGAACAATCAATGCAACTTACTTAACATGAATAATATCAGCAACTCCAGTTGTGCACTAAATCAGCTCCAGTTGTGCACTAAATACCACAGCACTTATATACATCTCACAGGAAATTATGTTCACAATTGTTGAAGAGTTGCCCAAAAATAACTTTGTCAATTTTCCAGAATAATATTGCGGATATAAGAAAAACTTAATCTTTGTGATCAAGCTAATGCCACTAGTTTATTTTGCTGTAATGAGCACAATCTGTAGGGAAAGATCCTACAGAGTTCTGATAGGAAAAACAAGCTCCATCATGAGATGTTGCATTACCTCTAGGCACAACAAAAGATGATACTGAATTTTAGATACTTGTTCTCTGTCCTGGCCTCACCTGGAGTACTGTGTCCAGTTCTGGGCTCCCCAGAATGAAAAATACAGGGATCTCCTGGAAAGTGTCCAGTGGAGGGCCACAAAGATGATACGGGACCTGGAGCATTTTTCCTATGAGGAAAGGCTGAGAGACCTGGGTCTGTTCACCCTTGAGACAAGAAGACTAAGGGGGATCTTATCAATATTTATAAATACCTTAAGTGTAGAAGACAAAGGCTTATGGCCAACCTCTTTTCAGTGGTTTGTGGGGACAGGACAAGGGGCAATGGCCACAAAATGGAGCACAGGAAGTTCTGCACCAACATCAGAAAGAACTTCACGGTGAGGGTGATGGAGCACTGGAACAAGCTGCACAGGAAGGTTGTGGAGTCTCCTTCTCTGGAAATATTCAAGGCCTGTCTGGATGTCTACCTGGGTAACCTGCTCTAGGGAACCTGCTTTGGCAAGGGGTTGTACCTGATGATCTCTTGTGGTCCCTTCCAACCCCTACAATTCTGCGATTCTGTGATTCTGTTCCTTTTGATTTTGTATGAAGAACTGTACTTTTAATGTTGGCTATAGCTGAACTTTGAAATATTTGTTAGCTGAATAACTCCATTTATTTTTAAATCATAAGAAGGTATTGTTCAACATGATGAGCATAGTCATGGCTTCTGAGAATTGTGCCCATCATAAGAGCACAGCCTTTGAATTCTTAGGACAGGTTCAGCTCTCATTGTCTTGGTGACTGACATGATGCCATCAAAGCACATCATTCCTGTAATAATATAGTATTATAAATATGCAAAGACATTCTTCAGAACAGGTAGTGATGAGATTAAGCATAGTCATGTTAAGTTGTTTGCCTTTTGATTCTTTTCCACTTCTTTTTCTACTTTTTCCTGACAGCATGGGAGGCAATTGCAAAGGTAAACAATCAAACTGAAGTGACAAGAGAAATCTCATTACAAGTAGAATGAATTGATTGCTTTCATACTTAGATGCAGATTTCCTGCTTTTCAACCATACAATGAATAGTTTTCACTGCCATTAAAAAAAAAAAAAACATGCAGGGAGGTGGAATAGCTTTTTAATTAAGCTATAGCAGGAAGAGCATAGATTCTCTTTGAAAGAAGCAGGAAAACATATAGCGATGTTTCTTAAACACTTTGATTTCTTCAGTGAGGTACCTGAAAGCAAGATACCAGAAAGACTTTTTTTTTTTTTTTCAAGAGAGAATACAGTCTTAGGGCTTGCACTATTTCTTCAAAATCCCTGGTTTTAGATTATTTATATGAGTAGTAGTAGCATTTTTATTCACACTAATTATATACCAATATACAATAAATATGCACTAAAGATTAATAGTATATGTAACTTGTCTTTGTATTTTGTAGAACTTTGGAACATAGTTTGTGAGAAATCAAAATGGCAATGATTGCCATTTTGCAGATGGGACCCGAAGGAACATTTTTGAAGGAAAAGAGAACATTTAGGGACAGGGATAAAAGAAACATACTGGTGTTACTAGAACTTTCATTAAGGGCTGCATTACCCAACTGCAGGTCGATGGAACTTGGGGAGAATATGTGGGAAGAATTGACACAGTCCTTCTTCCCCCTCCACTTTGCCACAAGAACTGCCTACTGAGTGGAGAGAAAATACTGATCTGTTGGTATGTTGGTATGTAAGGTACATTGGTATGATGTCCTTAATAGCAAGGGTGAGAATACAATCAACAGCTTTAATCATAGTCCAACAGCATGCACTTATCTGAAACATGACCTCTGACCTCACTTTTTCTTTATGTGTCTTTCAGAGATTAACTATACCAGAGTAAGTAAGATTGTATACGGCAAGATTTACCTTTAACAACTATACTTACAGTCAATATCAAAAACTAATTGGTATGAATAATACTGTTAAAACAGAGCAAATGAAAGCCATGACCCCAGATTAATAACTGAAACAAGGCATAGAAAATGAAAAACAACAACAGTTAGATAATAAACTTGCACTGCAGCTTTGAAAAATCACATAAGCTGTTTTTTCCAT